AAAAATGTTTGTCTGCATGTATGAAAAGTGAATAAGATATCAAAAGAGGGCATCAGAGCTCCTGGAAATGAAGTTATAAATTATGAGCTGCTGAGAACCCAGTTAGGTCCTCAAGAACAGGAAGTGCTTTCAACTGCTGAATCATCCCTCAAGACCTAGGGCTTTTTAAAAAGGCAACAAAATGGTACTGTATGTTTGGCTCTCATCAACTAATAAGGTTACTGTCTTGGGCAGAGGGCTTTGGTTGGAGAGCTATGCTAAAGTTCCCTCAGTATGTGCAAAAATAATCGCAACAAAGACCTTCCTTGTTCTAAAATTTCAGTATCCTTCCAAGAACAGGAATGACCAAATCAGGCAGGAAGAGACCACCTCACTTCTTAGGAGGGTTAAGGACAGCCTGAGCCCTGGCTGCAAGGAGCTGTGACTTCATAGTGAGGGGAGAGACTACAGTCTTAAGCTTGTGGTCAAAGGCTTCAATCAAGCAGGTTTAAGTGGTTACCGATTTGGAATACATGCTAAATTTGTACAGAAAAGAGCATATGTGGTGCCTACAATTTTTAACTGTGTCAAGCATGAGATTTCAGAGACAGCTGGACCATAGAAGTGAGCCATGGGGAAAAAAATGCCAAGATTTTTCACAAGTGCAAGATCCCTTTTTACAGCTACCAAAAATTTAGTTATTTGGAATATACATAGTAGTGATTCCAACATTTATAAACCAAAATTTATGTGCGGCCTGTTGTATGTTTTAAATTAGCCTACTTTAAAAGTTTATCAAGACTGATTCATGGGCTAAAGATGGTTCACTGGGTACAGTATATTGCTGCTGACCTGAGTTCAGTTCCCAGGACCCATGTATTGAAAGAAGACAACTGATTACCAGAGACATGGCGTTCGCGCTCACATACAAAGTAAATAAATGTAAAACAAAAAACTCAAATGGGAGCATCACTTTAAAATAAGCAGGCTACTCATACTGTAAACAAACAAACAATTTACAAAAAAAAAAATTAGAGAAGAAACTACCCTTGACTGTGTTTACAGCCGGGCGGTGGCACACGCCTGTAATCTCAGCACTGAGGAAGCCAGAAGCAGGTGGATCTTTCTGAGTTTGAGGGCAGCCCGGTCTACAAAGTCAGTCTACGACAGCCAAGGCTATGCAGAGAAACCCTGTCTGGAAAAAAAAATGTATTTATTTAAAATATTTTTTTGCTATGAAATTTGAGAACAGTTTCAAATGACATTTAAATACTTTCTACTTTTAATCACAAAATTAAAATCAGCCAAGAAAAAAAGCACTTAAAGAACTTTCAGTAAATGGCTTCTGACCTCCCTATAAGTTACTTCTTCCAATGCCATATCTCAGTGTGAATTAACAGTATTTTGAAAGGGAATTTATAAGAACTGAAGTGATGAGAAAACAAGATTTGACCAAAACCTTAAATTATTTTAAATTATGTTTCACTATTACATTTTCATATATAAGTGTCTTTGTATTTGAGACTTACCTAACCTTGTAGAAAGGACTGAATATCAAGACAGATCAGACTGTTTTTAATACTATCATTAAACTGGCATTTTTATTCTTCACTTACTTTTTTTTATTTTCAAACATAAAAACCCTCTACAAAACCATCATCTAGTCCCTCCCTTGGTACAGCTTATTAAAATTGTTCAAAACTCCTAAGGCCATAGCTTATCCACAGTATCAGGTCTGTCTATACACCTGTCTGACCTGATTAGTTGGTAACTTCAATTAGTATATTAAACTTTTAGGAAGTTTTCCTTTCTTCATTTCTTCTGCCAGAAAATTCCCATCCATGTCCCTCATCTTTCTTGCTCAGTGTTTCACTTCTCATTTTTGCAATGTCTTCTTAGTTTTTTAAATGCTTAAAATGCACATCTTCTGTTGCCTGGTACGACTGTACCAGGGGGAGGTGATCAAAGACCTGGCCACTGAATTCATGTCAGAAACAGCCCCTGCTTCCCTTACTAGGGAACCCACTTGGAAACTGAGCAGCCTACGGGCTTCCTCTGAGCAGGGGGTCTAGGTCCTCTCCATGCATGGTCCTTGGTTGGAGTACTGGTCTCTGCAGGAAGATGATACAGCCAGCCCTGATGAGACCTGATAGGCTAGGGTCAGAGAGAAGAGGGGGGAGGAGGACCTCCCCAATCAGGAGACTAGGTAAGGGGTATAGGGGGAGAAGTGGGACTGGGAGGAGACAAAGGAGGAGGCTACAGTCAGAATACAAAGTGAATAAATCACAATAAACAAATAAACAAAATGCATATCTTAATTTTATCAAATCCTAGTTAGTGCTCAGTGATTTCAAGACTGTTGTAAAAGAAAAACAATGCAAATGAAAAAAATTCGTTTTTAAGGCAAATCTGAAACCAACGTATACAGTCCCCCAATAAAACTAAAACCCATTATAAATTCACCATGCATCCAGATATAAACCACTGCAGGCCTGACACTGAAGTTTTGAAGTTACTGAGAAGAAAGTAAATTCTGTCACTACTTTAAAATTAATGATTATTTTTTTCTTCCCAACATGACTATTTCACTTGGAAACACAAGAATGGAGAAACACTGGTTATTTCAGTTCATCTGCCATCAAAAGAAATGATAGCATGATAGATGTAAATTCAAAGTGAGATTCCAGATTTTTAATTCAGTACAAACTAGCTCTTTTGGAAGTGCTAAATAGATTTTAAACTTCTGTTTTTGATAGAATTAATCAAAACAGTACTAGTTCATTTTCCATCAATGATTAATACTTATAACACATCAATGTTCACTTGATGCAATTTGGCAGTATGTGGAGAAAAGTGATCAGATTTACCAAGGTAAAAATATTCAAAATAGAAGGCATTTCAAGTATAACTGGACAGAAGAATGAACATACGCTTAAAAATGGGGCTTTCTTGAGCCTATACTTTTTAAGGGCAATATATCCTAATACTTCCATGTTGTATATAAATAATAAACACCTTTCATAATGATTAGTGAATAACTGATCACTAGTTCCTCTGACAACACTGCTGACTTTTATTAATAAGCCAGCACTTTTAAAACCCAGAGTTTGCTGTATTTATTTTAAAGAGATATAACTATAGTTATATATACCTTCAACAGTAAAACATCATTTAAAAAAATCATTCATATCTATGACAAAGGGTTGAAGTTCAAGTCTTTAAAAACAGGCTGATGAAGTAATTTGTAATTAAAATTATATATACCTGTACTAAAAGAAGCTAAAATTAGCTCAAATATATTTAATCATAAACAGCTTACAATATAAACACCTCCCGTAATCTGAAAAATATCACTTTATATAAATCTCTAAGCTTTTATTCAAATAATTTCAGAGATTTTTTTTTCTCTTAACAACTCACCTAACTTCACATTTTAATAAACAAAAGTGATATATTTATGTTGTTCATGTTCTCAAACTAGGGTCAGGACTTACATGTTCAGCTCTAAATGTTCTGTAAGGTCAGAATTTACTCTAAGAGTGAACTCTAATGATTATGGACATTAAAGTCCTCTTTCAGTAGAATATTCAGTACACTGAAAAAGTATGCTCAAAACCCTTTAACCTTTTTTAACTGATTTAATGCCCCATAATTTCTAAGCCTGTATCAGAGAAAGTAACAAAACATATCTCCATACTGTAATTCCTCTTCTCTCTCTCTTTTTTTCCCTTTCTTTTCACGCAGGGTTTTTGTGTAGCCTTGGCTATCCTGGAGCTCTCTCTGTAAACCAGGCTGGCCTGAACTCACAGAGATCCACCTGTCTCTGCCTCCTGAGTGCTGGGATTTAAGGTGTCTGCCACCACTGCCTGGCTCATTTTAGCCTACAATTGAATTTCCTGATAACAGAATCTGATTTACATGCAATAGTTAACTACTTCCTGTCTAGTTCTGACATAACTTTCCAATAAGTCTTCAACTGACCTTTCTAACTCAATCCACGTTTGATACTAAAACAATTACTGTTCTGAGTTTTATAAGGTCCACCACAGCAGGAGATGCAATCAGTCTGGAAGCTAGCAGGAGGAACAGTGAGAGGCACGGCAAGCTGCCTAAGAAAGGCTAGAGGCAGTGAGTCCCTCATGTCTGTCACAGCAGACTCTTCACGCCAAGGAGCAGCAGTGACAGCTCCTACCTGGTCCATCACAGGAAAAAGGCTGCATGCACCATCAGTAATTTATTTCCATGTAAATCTACTCATTTTCCTGTAACAGCATCAAGACAAGCACACATTTTTCTACTATTTATGTAAGTATTGTAGTATCAATGCCTTTATATTTGTCTAAGAATGGCCACTAAGACTTCAAAACTCCATTCATTGCCTATTTATTCTAAAATAAATTGTCAAAGTAACATTTATCAAATGATTACACTATCAGTCCGCATTTTAATTTAAAAAGTAGTATATAATTACTAAATATTCCAGAAACATACAAAACTAATTCTCTTTCCATACCTTCTAAAACACACACACACACACACACACACACACACCAAAATGTACTTCATTTAATTCTAATTTACTTTCTCATATGGTAAGCTTTTTATTTGTTTTAGTCAGCTCTTGTGAAATACACCACTTGGTGCTTTTTAAAAAACTGTTGAATTTGAAATAAAAATTTAAAAATTCATTTTCCATTGTTTTATACTAGCAGCTTCTGATTCTTTCTGGTCATTTTGTAGTGTACTTCAGAAAATGTATACACAGAACACTTTTTGTATATAGTTGAACTAAAATTAAGAAGACAGAAAACTTAGAAAAGGTTCTTTCTAAGAACTGCCAACAAATTGCATTGAAGAAAACAGATTCATAACTCAGAAAATTCCCTCTGATTTTTATTGACATTGTGAAAACGACTTTAATTTCTTTGTCTAATCTGGAGGACAGGACACAGAAAAGTATGCCATGATTCTGTACTGTTTTCAGCTGCAACTTTTCCAATGAAAAGTTAATACTCAGGACTTTTAAATGTTTGCAATTTATTTCTCTTTAACCTGTAAGACAAATTTAAGGCAACAAATATGTTTTCTAAAATATAAGAATAGAAAAAACACTGGAAGGCGTAAGTGCTTCATTGTAGGCTAAAATGCATTCCACATCAATCACTCAGCATGGAATACAGTGCCCTGTACCTGTCAAACAATGTCTTACAGAAAGACACCTCAAGGCATCTAAATATATTTCTGGACATAGCATCATGGATTGTGGCACATAAAACAGTCGGTCATGCAACACTGATAGTTCAAAGAATATTGCTTAATGAATGTCTAATTTACAAAACTACTTAATAGTACAAACCTTTAGCTCATGATACTGTTTATAACATAGAAATACTGTTATTAACACTTAAACAGTTACCTTCCTTTTTGCTTTAACATTTCATTATTAGCAAAAGAATTGGTAGAAAGAAAGTTTATGAGGCATCATATAAAGTGATAGTTTAGTTTAATTTTTTTCAGGGACACCTGACATTACTTCTATTTGATATATGAAAAAACCAAAACAGAAAAAAAAAAAAGTACATGTAATTTATAACAAACTGACCAAAGGTTTATGCTGTGCCTGAGTCAGAGCCCATGCCTAAGTTTGTGTTAGTTTATGAAGCAGCATTACTCCAGGTGTCTTCATAAGTGAGATTAAGTGACTATTCCTGGTTCCTTTCTTTTCTCTCTCCTCCTCCTCCTCCTCCTCCTCCTCACCTCACCTCTTTCTTGTTGTTCTTCTCCTTTCTTGACAGGGTCACACTGGCTACAAGCTCAGTCATCCCTGCAACTTTGGTTTAAGATTAAACAAGTAACAAAAACAAGTTTTTATTTTATTTCTTATAGTATACGAAAAATTACTTTAACGTTTTAGAGAAGAACCTTGATTTTATTATAGCAGAGAAATTAATGCAGTAATTTTCTATTTTAGATTACAGTAAGTCCAGTAACAAGACAGTGAGCATCTATCTCTTGCTGAAAGATCCATTTTTGAAATAAGGCTGAAGTGTGCTTCTTGAGCAAATTAACTGCTGTGTGATCAGCAATTATATAACATCTAAACATAATTTGTATTTTTTTTCCACATTTGGAACACAATCTAACTTATTCCCACCAGTGAAACAACTCCAGTTTCATTAAGTGGTTAATATTCACACTCTGTCTTTTAAGTTATAAACCATTTGGGGGGAAAAAAAAAAACAAAACAAAAAACCTGAAACACTACTTTGTAAATTCACACTGCATATAAAAATTTCAGATACCTCAGAATTTCAGATTCCACTGCCAATTTAATTGTAAATTTTAATTATAATATTTAGTAAAACTAATGTAGTAAAATGTTTTCACTGATAGAAGATTAAATGAACAGAAACATGCTTCATGCATGTGTTGCTAAAATACAACAGATCAGAGAACTGAACTGTTAGACTGCATATTATAGCTTTTAAAAACCAAAGACTATTAAACATAATTTAAAATTCTAGCAAGTTTTATTTTAAAAACACACAAAAGCAAATGTATCTTGGTCTATAAAGAAGAAACAAGGTTTACAAGTAGATGCACATTTGAATGAATAACCTTGCCATGATTTTAAGAACTATAGCACTTAGAGGAAAGGGCATTTTGATTTTAAAAAATATTTAAATTAATTTTCTACATATATAAATAAATATTTGCAGAACAAAAAAAATTTTAAAGATTAGTGAAAACATTTTATACCCAAAAAAAACTACTTCATTTTATTATTAAATCTTTCTGAGTTAAATTCTATACACTGGAAAAACAGCCTGTATTATAGTTCTGTAGCTGTTTAAGTGCTATGAAAATTTGCTCTACGTCTGTCAATGAATAACTCAAATTAATATTTGTCCATAAGCTATGGATATACTAAGTGAGAAAGCAAGCTGCATGGTTAGATATCTGACGCGTGCTCTCCAGCATCATGAAACCTCTTTTACTGATTGACACATCATTTCTAGTGTCACCAATAAGGCTTCAGTATGCACTCCAGGACACATGTTTAGATTCTCAGGCAGTTCCTTAAGAACACTTGGGAGTTTCTTTAATGTCTTTATATTTCTAGCATAGAGATCCAGTAGCCAGTCAGCATGTACATTGGTGGGTTCTGTATCACTACTGCATGCCATAAGCAACTCATTTAGATGAGATAACCCTTTGAAAGCTAAGATGAATTCTGAGGATAAATCAAATATTGAACAAAAACTAAGCAACATCCTACTAAGTAAAAATGAAGCAAACTCAAGCTGTTGGTGATAAAAATGTTTCTGTGTCTTGGCATGAAAGTTGTCCACTGTATCATCTATGTTTGTAATAGCAAATAGTTCTTCCTTGTCCTGAGGCGACAACACATAATCCAAGGGCAACTCCCCCTTAGAGTTCCTCTGCTGCAAAAGCTCTGGGCCTGTGAAAAAGAAAATGTAAAATGTTAAAAGTAAAACATGTTTTACTTTCAGTTTAACTGCTGCCTACCCCCCCCCCCACCCCAAGAAAAAACCTTACAGGGCTCCATTTGTCATCATATTTGCGATTAATTAGCTACCCACACAGACTGTAATTGCCTATATAGACTAATAAAGGTGAGTGTACAAACAAAACTGTGGTCAATTGTCTAATGAAGTCTGCTTAAAAGGACATAGCCTAGTTAGACAAGTCTTATGTATGATAACTGAAATGGTTTGTAAAACCCTAACTGCTGCCACCTTAACAAGAATAATTTTGGAATCTCAGAAAAAATTAAGAAAATGCTTTATCCCAAGTTCAGAAAAGAGAAAAGAATTTCTCTTTTCCCTTACTGACTAACCACCCAGCAATGTGAAATTTATAGAGTCAGCACAGTACAGTTTTAATTTTATCCTTGCAAATATTTATTGTCTACAAAGGCAAGAGATTCATAAAAACTTCAATGTTAATTTTTCTAAATAAAAATCAATAGTTGATCTATGTATCAAAACAAAAACAAAAAGCCTGCCTATGGTCAGTTAGTACTTGCAAAATACTAAAATGCTAAGAACTTGAGTTTATCCTCTAAATATTAAAGGATGATGTAAGAACTGTAAGATGACCAATCCTCACTCAGAAAGGCAAACAGGACAGACATCAGAAGAGGGAGAAAACAGGAAACAGGACAGGAGCCTACCACAGAGGGCCTCTGAAAGACTCTGCCCAGCAGGGTATCAAAGCAGATGCTGAGACTCATAGCCAAACTGTGGGCAGAGTGCAGGGAATCTTATGAAAGAAGGGGGAAAGAGAAAGACCTGGAGAGGACAGGAGCTCCATAAGGAGAGTAATAGAATCAAAAAATCTGGGCCCAGGTATCTTTTCTGAGATTGGTACTCCAACCAAGGACACTGCATGGAGATAACCTAGAATCCCTGCTCAGATGTAGCCCATGACAGCTCAGCATTCAAGTGGGTTCTCTAGTAAGGGGAACAGGGACTGTCTCTGACATGAACTCAATGGCTGGATCTTTGATCACCTCCCCCTAAAGGGGGAGCAGCATTACCAGGCCATAAAGGAAGACAATGCAACCAGTCCTGATGAGACCTGATAAGCTGGTAAGTGTCAGACGGAAGGGGAGGAGGACCTCCCCTATCAGTGGACTTGGGGAAGGACATGGGATGAGATGAGGGAGAGAGGATAGGACTGGGAAGAAATGAGAGAGGTGGCTACAGCTGGGATACAAAGTGAATAAAGTGTAATATAAAAAAATAAAAAAGAAGTGTACAATAGCCACCTAAAGTCTAGGAGTACTGTGTACTCTTGTCAGTCACATCTTTTAATCCTTTATGCATAAAAATGTAACCCATGATATGAAGGTATAATAAGAGACATTATAACATATATCACCAGAAAGAGACGAGATTAAGTGCTAAAACTCTTACTGATGACGCTGACCACATATACAATGGCTCATATGACTGATGTATAATTTGTGGAAAAGAATTCCAAATGAAAATTTTATTATCTATCCTTTTGTTAACATCTCAAAACAAAAGCCAAATATTCTAACTTATTCCTGTTTATAAAAATTGTGAGTGTCTGAAAGAATGTTTTAGCAATATATACTGTCGAAATTATTGCTTGTAAGAGTGAAAGTCTTGAATTTAATAGATTATACAGCTGCCATGGTGATAATGTCAAACCATGTGACAGATCCAAACCCAGAATTTGATTAGAAAAGTGAATATATAGACAAACAAACAAACAAACAAAAAACCAAACTAAACAAATAACAACAAACATGTACATGTAGCCAATGGACCTTGACAAACCTAAGTACAAGCAGACTTTCTCTCCTAGGTCAGACACTAATCCATTAGACTACTCTTTGTTAGTAAAATCCCACTGCCTGATCTAATACTACACTACACTTATAAGCTGGACTTCATAGAACAATACTTCTTATATCATTTATATCATTTGATAGAGAAAGAAATTGGCTTGAACACCAGAATAAATCTTTGAGTAGAAAAACAGAATACATAATAGGAAAAGAAGTAGGTTTAGAAAACAAACAGTAATTTAAGAAAAGGTAGAAGAACTAAAAATACATCAATTATGAAACATTGTTGGTAAAACAGACACTCTTAGGCCTTTAGGGGGCAGGAGAAGACTATAAATAACCAGCTCTTTCTAGCCATCATGGAATACATCCTTTCTTAGATACACACAGAAGAAAAAGACACATGGAGAATATGCCTTTTGTTTTTATGCAGAATGAAATGCTTTATTTACACACCAAATTCTATGTTAAAATTAGCACAAACAAAATGAAGGCATTTACACAAATGTTTGTGTTTTTCATATTACAAAGTAGTTATCAGTATTCTTTTTAAAATACAAATTAGTTTGAATATTTTGAAGCAAAATTTTGTAATAGCTCAGATGCAGAAATGTAATAAAAAAGGGAGTTGCTAAAGGTAAAAATGAATCAGGAAAAGCAGCAGGTAGATACAGAGCTTAAGTTATTATCTTCACAACAGCCTTGTACTATACTTACCATGATCTGAAAATCCAACTTAGTTGACAGTAAATATGAAAGAGAAAACATTCTAGGCTATCTTTTCTATACTCTATAAAGGAATCTCTTACAAAGACAATAGTAGCTTAGCCAGTTATATATATATATGTATATATATGTATGTATATGTATATTTATAATAAGATAGGAATGGAAAACCATAGTCACAAGAAGTACTGAATCTACTTATTAGCAAGCTTTAGGAAATGACTAGTTCACAAAGATATCACACACATTAAGTAAAAGGAATATTTAAAACCAACACCTTCAACTGAAAAAATATGCTATCATACATGAACCTCAATAGGTTTTAATAGTATATAAATATATGTATATATATATAATAAAATAGTTCTTACAACAACTAGTAAAGGTGACTATATTTTAGGAGACTTTTTATCTTTACTTTTTCATTAATATAAAATAAAAGCATCTTTCATGACAGATTTTTAAATATACAGTGTTATCTGCCTCCAAGGGATTCGTCAAAAAATCTAGATAATTTATCTAAACCCATTTAGCACAAACGCACTCACCCCCATGCTGTAGTAGCAGCTTGCCAATTTCTACGTGTCCGTTTGACAGTGCATCATGCAAAGGAGTCACCCCGTCCACTTGAGTGAGCAGATCTACCTCTGGACAACGTTGCAAAATTTCCTGGACACACACTGTGTTGCCATAGTTACAGGCTTCATGCAAAGGCGTCCAGCCAGCATTGTCTAAATTAGATATCAAGGCAAGTTTTAAAACAGCAGAAGTAGTACTGTCGGTTGCAAAGTATTGATAATCTACAACTCCCATCCTATTACTCTGTAGGAGCTTCATACACAAAAAAACAGCACTGGTAAAAACCAACAGTGTAATCATATTTCTACTTAAAAATCAAATAAAAGCACTTTCAAAATATCAATGTTAGAATACAAATAGAAAATTACTACTAAGGTATTTTATATTATTAGCTCTAAATTATCACATAATAAATTGTTTCAGTTTAGCTGCTAACAGCATTTTTAAATTATCTTTGGTAAATTTACTTAAATTATTTTTCTTAATTTGACATAAAACTATTCTGTACAACACATTTTAAGATACTGAACAAGAGCACAAAGACTTTGAGAACTTACCTTTCACATTGATGTCTATTCCTGGCAAAGACAGAAGAATAATCAATTTCTCCACTTGGTTTTTTATGCAAACTCTATGCAGCGCTGTTTCTCCTGCCATAAAAAATTAATAGATTATTCCACAGAAGACAAGATATCAACTAAAGAAAATAATAAAAGGCCATGAACCAGAAGATCTGGACCCATGCCAGACAATTATTTATATGGTTTTTCTTCCGACTGGTTTAAACATCTTTTGAACTGTGTATGTGTGTGTGTGTGTATACACACACACACACACACACACACAATACATACATACATACAAATATAAAGGAGAGAAAAAGAAAAGAAAAGGAACAAAAGGGGGGTGGGGAGAGGTTGGTGGTGAGGTGGTAAGACCCCGGGCAACCCAGAGCTTCTGTTCTGTCAGCAATTCAGCAATGGAATTCTACAAGAGCTTTAACACCAGCATTGTTTCTCCCCAGTTCAAGGTTTAAAGCTTCAATCCTGCTATAAAAACCCCCAATGATCAGAGAACACCAAAAATACTAGGTTTTGTAGCAATAAAAGTTTTAAAGCGCAATTGCCCTCTCTTAAATTTATTCATGAACCCACGCTAAAATGTACGGCTCTTTCTTATACAGCATTTACAGCTTAATTCAAATGAATGTTTCTGGCTAAGCACGAGTGCCTCTACACACTCAAGTATAATTCAGAACTTCAAATCCATTAACAGATGGTTTGCTGCTTCTCAATAGGCTGTCTGGCTTGGCTACAGCAGCACAGAGGGAGAAATGGAAGAATCTTAATATAAACACCACACACACACACACACACACACACACACACACACACACACACAAGTGCCCAAGTACCATTTAAAGCTGAATAACTATACCACAGAGAATGGAACAATTTTTACTGAGAGGAAAGCAGTAAGTAGATGTTGGTCAAAAGAGTCTATTCCCAATCTCTCTTACAACTAAAATTAATAAGATATAAGTCAGAATTCGATATTAAGAAAAATGGTTAAATAATTGTCAGTGACTGCATAGGAAACAAAATAAATAAATCATGGGCATTAATTGTTCCTGCTATAAAATACCGAGTAGCACATTTTCATAGCACTCAATTTTACAGATTATCTCTGCAACTTCTACTGAACATTTCTTCTATATGCATAGAAAGTCTCTTCAAGTTTTTCTCTATTTTTCAATTTTCTTTCTCTCCCAACTCCTTCTGCTGTTCAGCTAAAGTCATTCATATTCATTTTACTTTCTGAAACAATAAAACAAAACAGACACTGATCTTTGAAGTGAATATCTGATTTTTCATCTAATAGTCTTCATATTCTGAGCTAAACGGGCAGTTATACACTTCCATCACATGGAAAGATTAAAAAAAGCTTTGCTGTTGCTGTTTTCATGAGCTAATCCATATCATGAGTTAATCCATATGATAGTTTATAAACAAGAAAAAATTATAAATCTAGCATTTTAGTTCATTTAAGTAGAGACTCCTTAAAGACATTTTCAGGTTTTAAGATATCTAAGTAAAAGGGGTGCTAGAGTAAATTATTACAGTAAACTATTCTTACAATTCTGTCCATTAGGTACTTAGGCTCTAATACAGTTAGAACCAAAAGCCAAACACATTTCAGTCTGGGCTCAGTGCCTAGAAGAAAAGAGCCCATATGCTTAACACAGCTATGTGACATAGCCTACTCCTCATTCTTTGTTCACAAAATGTCTCTGACTGAAAAGAGATGAAGAATGAATTATACTTTCAAATCGGAAGACACTGATTCTAAGCATCACACGTTGATGTGGAATAGCAAAGTAAGGAGGGCAGGTCTGGAAGGAGCTCAGGAGTGCAGCATTACACTTGGCATCTAGAAAGGCAGGGAAAGAAAGAAAAGGAAGGAAGGAAGGAAGGAAGGAAGGAAGGAAGGAAGGAAGGAAGGAAGGAAGGAAGGAAGGAAGGAAG